GATGTCGGGTCAAAAGATTCACCTGAAGATTTGCAGTTCGCTTGGGAAACTGGGTTCTTCAAGGATATTTTTCAAGATGAGAGTGATCCGCAGATAGCTTGGAAGCATTGGTTGGACGTTGGTGCAGAGACGGTGCCTGATTGCAAGGAAGACAATGTGGCAGATCGTGTTGCTAAAAAGCGCAAGGCTGACCATGTTGATTTTGATACCCCGGTTTGCTTTTCTGTCTTAAATACGACTGATGAAACTACTTGGGAGGAACGTAGAGAAGCTTCCATGGACAAGGCGCTGACAAGATGGATCTACGTCATTTCACAGTGGAATAACGTGGAGCCGGAGCTAGACGTCTGCACTGCGTTGGAAGCGTGTTCATCAGTGGAGAAACAAAAGGCAGTATTGAAGGATTGGTTGCATTCCAAAGCTCCAGGCACACTGCTGAAGAGAGTCAACTCGTTGCTGCGCTTTCACAGGGCAGTGGGTTGGGGCGATATCCTTGAAGGCCTCCCGTGTGGAGAAACCCGTCTTTACAACTACCTGTCTGATTCGAGGACGGGCGGAGCAAAGGCCTCTCAGCTCAAGGCGCTGAGAGAAGCACTTGTTTTCGTCAGGCACATCTTCGGCGTAGAGCGGCTCCAAGCCTTCGCTAGCAGCAGGAGGTGTGCAGGTGCATCGAAGCCATCTCCAAAGGCCAGGAAGCGGGCGCCGCCGTTGAAAGTTTCAGAGAAAGTTTTTACACCTTTTGTTGGAAGACAATGATGCTCCTTTGTGGGATCGCATGTTCGCTGGGGCTGCACTGGCTTGCTTATACATGAGATCCAGATGGGGGGACTTCCAGCAAACAAATTCTGTGCATGTGGATTATGACGAAGAGGGGTCTGCGCTCTATCTTGAATACAAGGCGACAATCTTCAAGACAATGAATGCCAAATTTTGGGAAGGCGAACCAGCGTTGTGGATAGCCCCTGCGCTTGGCATCGTGGACAGACCGTGGCTTGGCACGTGGATTGCGATCCGTGCAGAGCTAGGTTTAGGCAATGTCAATTTGCCGCTGCCGGCGCCGAGCTCGGAGGGGACTGCTACTTCCAGAGATGTCTCGACAACGGAGATCTCGGGATGGTTGCAGGAGATGCTGCCCCGAGATGGGCAACCTATAACGGCTCACTCTCTGAAGAGGACTCTCCTTTCTTTTGCGAACAAGCGCGGCGTGGAGACGGTGGACAAACTTATTTTGGGAAGTCATTCGCGCCCAGGAAAAATGGCCAACACTTACGGTGACGACCTGATGGCAAGACCATTGCGGCTCCTGGAGGCGCTGCTGCGTGAGGTACGGGGTGGCGTCTTCGACCCTGACATGGCTCGTTCGGGGAGGCTGCGGAGTGAGACGAGCCTTGAAGTCGCGGTTCGGCATGGACATTGAACGAGATGGGGTGACGGCAAGCGGGTCTGCGCCGTGCTCATTCGAAAGGGTGTCTCTGGAGGAGCAACAGGCCCAGGTTCGTGGTGCACCGGCGGTCGCGGATGTTGCACATGCTGCCTGACCAAAATAAGAAAGTTTTGTTGTGTGGCCGCATTATGCAAGGAGCCTACGAGCCGGCGACAAATGTTCGCTTCGACTCTTCTGTGTGTACCTTTTGCCGACGACATGTACAGGCCTGAAGAGGCAGCTTGCAGCTGAATCGGAAATGTGTGGCAATGGATCGGAATGCACCCTAGCAACCTGAACGCATCAGGCATAGCTGAAGCCGACGTGCAGTTTTGGGTTCAGGTTTGTTGTGGAGCAGAGCCATGGCGTTGGTTGATAGCAAAGCAAGCTTCAAACAGCGCTGTGATGACATTGGCGCGGACACACTCCATGCAGCCCTGAAAACACAGGGGATCGAGACTTTCGCGGGCTTGGCTTACTCATGTGGGTCGCCAAAAGAACCCGCGTTACAGGTTGAGATGGACGCTTTTGCGGTAAAGGTCTTGGGTGCATCTCCTAAGCTGGGAGACGTGGCTCTCCTCAAGCGGCTGCTCTTCGAAAGCTCCACCTTCGTTGTGGCGTCGCTAAGGCAGGCTGTCTTGAGTGACTCGGAGACACCAAAGCGACTCCCGGCTGCCGAGAAGCAGGCACGGGCTGAAGCACAGCGTGGCAGACTAAGCGGAGTTGTGATAGAACGTGACATGTCTCCTTCATACTCCCTGGTGGATTTGTGCGCGCACATGGCCGACACCAATGTCGCTAGTTGGATAGCCCCTGGCAAGTGCTCGTCCCGGGAAGCGGAGATTCAAATCTCCACCAAGGACCAGGCGAAAGTCTTCCGCCTTGAAGACCACCAGCTCAAGGTCGCCGGTGAGCCCAATGAAGTCAGTGCTGACTGCTCCAGCGCAATAGCATTGCAGTGGTGCTGGCAGAGAAGAGGGCTCGCGCTCAATCAGTGCAACCTGTTGGCTTGGGAGTCACACAAGCGATGGATTCGTCATCTCATGCAGGCACTTACTAAGGAAGGGCCGCCGGGGTGGCACAAGCCTAGTTTGCGCCAAATCATACAGACCGATCGCGAGGCTTTCTTGATCATGGCCAGTGAGCTGCCAACGCTCAAGCCAGACAGTGCCGGAACCTTGCCGATGGGAGCCAAGTTGGATGCACTCAGACATGACCCGAGGATCATCGCTATGCTGATGCCGACTCCTTTCAAACAACCGGGGCAGCAGGCCGCAACGCCAGATGCTGGCGATGCTGAGCCAGTCACCCGCTCGGCAAAGAGGCGCAAGCGACAGAAAGCAGCAAGGGACAGCAAGAGAGCTGATGGGGGCAGTGACAACAAGCGCACAATGCCGCCCGAGCTCAAAGACCTCTTCCAAAAACTTGAGGATGGCAAGCCGCTGTGCTGGGACTTCAATGCGAAATGTGGCTGCCAGAAGAAAACCGAAGGGCAACCGCCGCGATGCAACTATGGTGTTCATGGTTGCATGTACTGCCGGAGGATTGGACACTCCTACCAGCAGTGCCGTGCCCGCAATTGGAATGGGGGCCAAAAGGGCAAAAGCGGTGGCAAAGGCAATGCGGCCGAGTGACTATGCCCGTATGATCACAGTTGCAGCGTGCAAGCCGAATCCGCCATGGGTTCGAGGCCGCATGCAACCCAATACACTTTTGTTGCAATGCCGGAAGCATTAGAACTTTTTCAGCCGTCGTGCGAAGTTGAGAGCCTTGCTTGTCAGTGCTTGATTGCGGGCAGTGCCAGTTTTGAGGACTTTGCATCAATGATTCTTCTTTTACCCGCTGATGCTGAGGGGAAGGTGGCGGGCTCTAGCCAGGGATCCCACGAATCCCCCAAGACATTCACTAGTGGGGCTTATGTTTATTCCAATCGGTGTGGCCTGCGCAGCAACACATACCGATACTCAGCAACCACATGCTTGCTAGCACGGGTTGTGGGAGCTGTCTTTCCTGATCAACCATTCACTTCGGTCGGTCTGTTTCGAAATCTGCAGACTCCACCGCATTCTGACACAAATAATGATCCAAGGACATTGAACCTAATATTGCCGGCATCTCAGTTTCGGGGGGGAGCAGTGTGGTTTGAAGGCAACGGCCATGTCAGCCAACGCATTGGCGAGGAGTGTTGCTACGGTGACCTCTTGCACGTCGCGCATGGGCCCTGTCTACTTGATTCGCAGCAGCGACACTGCACCCTTGATTGGACCGGAGCCCGGATATTGATTGTTGCCTTTTCTGTGAAGAACTCCGGCAGCCTTCGTCCGGATGCGGCAGAACGCTTGAGTTCGTTCGGGTTCTCATTGCCGCGTGCTTTGGAGAACAAGCGTCGGCGAACTGATGTCCCTGGCCCTGGGTCGGGGGAGGAGCTGCATGCTCTACCTGACCAGTGCGCTGTGGGCGATGAGCCATCACTACTCCACACCCAGGGCGAATCCTGTCTTGGGGAGGCGCGCGTCCCCGAGCCGGGACCCAGTTGTCCTGACCGGAGTGAACGTGACACCAAGCAGGATGGTGCGCCTTTTCCCCCACTACCTCTTGTCTCTGATCTTGAGGCCTCCACGACGTGGACTACAACTCCCTGTGCAAGCCCCAGCTCATCCCTAAATACGGGTCTAGACCTTAACCCAGTTAAGACTACTTGTACAGGGGATGACAAAAACCCTGGGCGCCCTACCTTTACTTGGGGTTTAGACACGAAACCCGCGTCTCGTCTCCCAGACGGCAGACCCACACCTGGATCCTCCTCTCCTCCCCTCGGTAGGGTTTTAGTCCATGGGTCCCCTTTGCCAAACGCCGTGTTCCCTGCGCAGACTGCACCTTTGGTCATTGAAGTGTTTGCCGGAACGGCCAGACTATCACAAGCATGCCATCGTGTAGGATTCCGAACACTGGCAGTTGACAAGTCTTCCAAAAAGTCCAGGCATGCGACTCACGTCCTTGATCTCACTGTTGAGGCTGACGTCACAGCGTTACTCGACATAATAACGTTGGAAGCCTCCAACCTGGCCCTTGTGCATCTAGCGCCGCCGTGTGGTACTGGATCTGCGGCCCGTGGCCGGCCCATACCCGAAGCCGAGGCTATGGGATTACCGGTGCCACAACCTTTGCGCTCGCCGCGTGAACCGCAAGGCCTGTCAACGCTGTCTGGTACTGACCTTGTCAGAGTGCAGTTAGCAAACTCCTTGTGCCGTGCTGTTGGCCGAGTAGTTCGTCATTGCCTGGATTTGGGGGTTCGAGTGACCGTGGAGAATCCCAAGAACTCCCTTGCTTGGCTGTGTGACGGGCTCGATGAATTGTTCAGACTGCCACAGTACTACGAGATACTTTTCCATGCTTGCGTGCACGGATCCGATCGGAATAAGAGTACTTTGTTTTGGGCAAGCGATCACCTTTTCTCTTCGTTGGGGGTCCTCTGCGATGGCAGCCATCCGCATGCTAGCTGGAAGCCTGTCTGGAGTGACGGTGGGTGGCGCTACCCAACAGCTGAGGAAGCTGCCTATCCGTGGCTGCTGTGCGAGCGTATCGCCCACATCCTCGCTGCTGAGTACCCCGACTTAGCCAACACTGCTTATCAAGTGCGACTGCCAGATCAAGTGGCCTTACAACGACAGCCTCGATATGCCAAGCCTTTGGTTTCTGCTTTCGCTGCATACGACACGTGGGCCGTGCCAGTTGTCAGCCAGGCTGCTGATTTGCTGTTGAAGGCTTACCCTAAGGGCGCTCATGTAGTGCGTCGCAAACTTGTGCCGTGGGGTGTGGTGCGGGTTTGCTTGCCAAGTATGTGCCCATTGCTGGACCGACAAGCGCTGAAGCAGGCATCTGTGTCAGACAAATCCTTTGAGATCATGGACGGACAACATGAAGCTTGCGTAGATGACATTGTCGAGAATCCTGCCGATGTCCACAAGGTGGTAGGTGAAGTCCCTCCAGCCAATGGTTGTGCCGAGAGTGCAGAACTGGTTCAGATTGGCATTCCTCGCGAATCGCAAGACTTCGTCAATGAAGCGATCAAGGCTGGACACCCAAGGGACATGCTCTCAGTCTGCAGATCCGGTCCGGCTAAGGAAGTGGCAAATGCAGTCCTTTATCCGAGGGAGTCTAGAGTTGCCAAAGCCCGGAAAACCATTACAGAATGGGCCAGGATGAAGGAGAGTACTTCTCGAGAGAATGTCGAAATGCTGAAGGATCGGCCTGAGTACATTCGAAAAATCCTGGGCAACAAGAATCTCCTCTTCTGGAAGCAGGCGTTGACGGTGTGTGATTTTCCAGACACTGAGTTGTGGTGGGACATGTGCCAGGGCTTCCGATTGACGGGTTGGACGCCTGACACTAAGCTATTCGCTAGGCATCTTCGACCTCCTGCAACCGACCTGGACAGACTGCTCAGTCAATCCTCTTATCGCACACCTCTGACATTGCGGGCCATCAGCAAGACGGTTGTGGACGAAGCTTCGACCAATGCCTGGAGGGAGACATGCGAGGAGGAGCGCCGGGGTTGGATTTTCAGGGACGACCATTACAACCCGGACAGGGTAGTGCTTTCGGATTACAACAGAAGGAGAAAGTGAGGGTCATCGACAACGGGAAGATGAGTGGGCTGAATGAGGCGTGTGGACTTCCCGAGAAGTTCCTCCTTCATGGTGTTGATACCATCGCTGCGGCTCTCCTCGAGATCATGTCTCGCACAGACGGGAAGGCAACAAATCTGGCGGGAAAAACGTACGACTTGGTCAGCGCCTATAAATTCTTTCCTGTGCATCCCTTGGACAGGGAACACGTCAGGCTGGGGGTGTTCGATGTGGACAATCGAAAGCCAGCTGTGTTCGGGACAAACATTCTCACGTTTGGAGCTACAGGGAGTGTCGCGGGCTTTTTGAGGGTCTCGAATGCAATCAGACACCTTGGGCTTCATTCGTTGAAAATACCTTGGCTGGCTTACTTTGACGATTTCCCAGTTCTCAGCTGTGGCGACTCGTGTGACGACATGGAAGAAATCGTGGATCAGCTATTCAGTCTGCTAGA